AATCAAACTTTTAATTTTCTTTTATAAAGTGAGAATATAATTGTGCTAAAGAGACATACATTTTTGAAGATGGATCAAAGAACTTTTCGACTTGTGCAAATTTTTAAAATTATGAACATCATGTTCATAATGGTATAGCTGTATATTGAAGCACGCCAACGCTTAAAAAGGAGATGGTGGATCCGGCCAGTAAACCTTGCGAGGAAACGGCTTGGATTTCATGGAGTTAGCTTCGCTCTACTAAAGCTGAGAGAGGAAGAACATTTCTTTAAGGCCACGAGAATGACTGAGCCTAAGTTCAATGTCCTTCTTAATTTACTTAGAGAAAAGTTGCAAAGGTTTTCCAGAAGAGAGCCAATAGACGAAGAGACCCGTTTGGGTATGACGTTGATGTAAGTAGATGCTTACCATATACATAAATATACATATGTACATTTACACACATACCTATATTATAAACCGATAATAAATATATTGCCAGATACTTATCACAAGGATGTAGCCCACAATTTTTGGCATTCTCTTATAAAATGGGAGTCTCAACAGTAAGGAAAATCATTTACGAAACCTGTGATGCGATTTGGAGTGAGCTGCATGCAATTTATGTTGCACAACCAAATTTAACAGAGTGGAAAAACATTGCCAACGGGTTTGTAAAAAAAATGTTCCTGAAATATGGTAATCGTTCTATTTTTTATTTCAAAAGATTTTACATGAAAAGTAGAATGCCCCATTGACTCGGAGCAGTTGATGGCAAGCATGTGAACATAATTTGCCCGAAGCGCAGTGGCTCCTTATACTAAAACTACAAAAAAACGTTCAGTATACTAGTCCTAATGGCAGCGTGCATTGCTGATTACTCCTTTACCTTCGTTGATGTCGGTGCATTGGGAAGTTAAAGTGACGGTGGAGTTTTCGCTCATAGTGCTTTTGGGAATATGATATTGAGAAACAACATCATGCTACCTCCAGATGATAGCCTGCCTGGTAAACGAACAATCTTAATCCTAATCTTAATATGTATGAATATAAATCCGAATGCTACTCTTAATATTAATCTTTAATCTAATCTTAATCTTACTCTTTATCCTAATATACTTTTAATATTAATCTTTAATCTTTTTAATTTTTTTTTTAGGTTCAGATAGAAACTTTCCATATTTTTTTGTGGGAGACAACGCGTTCCCTCTGAAACGCAATCTAATGCGCCCATATCCTGGACGCAATTTGCCAACCACGAAACTAAATTTTAATAAGAAGTTATCATCCGCTC